TCCCTACACAACGAAATTCATAAAGGGAGTTGAGGTGACAGTGTGTCTGTGAAGAGATGTTGAGGAAGCGCCACCTGCGACAGCGGCAGAGCTTAAGAGACTGCAAAGTATCAAAGCTTTCGTTTACATCTAAAGGCATAAAGGGAGTTCAGGTGACAGTTGTTAGAGCAGCATATATGTAGGCCCACACACTTTAGCAGGATTTGATCAGGGTGAACATGCACAGGACACGTTACAGGGATTTCCTACACACTTGTGGACTCTATTCTGCTGGATTGTACACAAGCACTATCTGTACAAGTCTACGAGTATTATCTCATCATACAAAAGCAGCATATAAAACTAAGCCTAGCGAGTGGACTGCATGCTTCGAGGAACTTCGTACACAAAGAAGTCACAATGATCTGGAAGGAGCTTATAAAATCAGGTGACGTGGGGTGACACGGTGAATAAAAAGGGGCTTAAGGCTTGTGTTTTGGAAAGAGGTGCAAGGTTTAAATTCCCTGATGACGGCAGAAAATGCTACGTCAATGCTTTGGATTCTCTCCTCTTCAATGTGTCGTTTCCGGTCGTCTTCCAAAGAGAGAAGATGAACAGCCGGTTGTCTGCTTTTACGTTACTCACCAACCGCAGCCACTCCAAACTTAGAGTGGAAGGAATATCTAAATGAAAGTTCAGACACTTTCGTGAAACATCCGAATGTAGATCAGGTCTTTGAATAAAATTGTCACTGCAAGGTCTCCCATGTCAAAGTTCAGGACACTGTAGGTGTAAGAGATTTTGGAAAGGGCTTTGGAGGAACAGGATTCAGATATGCAGCAAGTGTTTTTTTTTCAGTTCACTAAGGAACAGTCATATTGCATGTATACTTCCAGTATTTTAGGCCACATGCTCACAGTACAAGTACAAACTCTTAAGTCTTCAGTTTATGCACCTCAGGGAACGAGGCCTCGCTTTGGCTGGCTGCGTGCTCTTAAAAAGGTTGCAGGTGAAAATCCATCAAGCTCACATTACCTGGATGGCAGCAGCCAGAGACATGATGGTGCACTCTGTCCTGTAAGATAAAGTGGACATGTTTGTGAAAGACGACTGCTAACAATCATTTTATGGGCTTAAAACAATAGCCAGTGGCAACAATCACTATGTGGTGTAGACTAGTCTACATGCACATGAAGAGGGAACTACTAATGATCAGGACGGTGCAATGGACACGAGCAGCAGTTGTGACATCCAAAACAACTTTTTCCACAACTTCTATTTGATACTGAACTGTTTTTGTTATAGCAAACGGAAGAGAGGATATGAAGAAGACGGTCATGTGGCAAAAGAACCTCGTCTGGCTGAAGAGGTGAGACGATATTCTTATACTTCTTTAGCTTTTTAGCTTATCAGAATCCGTAATTAATTTTTTGTTTCATTTCAGGAGTGGAGTGATGAAGACCTCATGTGAGCTTTATGTTGTTGTGGAATCAGGCTGAAATAAACGTTTTGATTGCAGTATTTTATAAATATTACAGATGCCCCCCAAATCAAAACAACTATCAGTTTAAGTGCACATTTGGTTGGCTGTTGTTGCGCTTGCAGAGAGAATAAAACTATTTTTCTATAAGTTTCTGTGGTATATATTCGCTGAACATAAAAATATTATGTGCACACATTTCTCTATTTTGTCAGGGCACAATAAACAACTCCATAATCTACTTTAAAAAAACAGTTTTAATACGTGCACGCATGTCTGTTATACAGTCTGTGTGACTCAAAATGTACTGCTGTAAACATTGTACTTGAGTTTTTTTTTTTTTAATTAGGTGTTCTGTCCGGCAATGACGAGTTAAAAAAAAAAACACTAACCCAAAAATCAAATATCGTGGATAATTATGACCAGAAAAATTCAGTTCATCTCATTAAACTCATGATTCCAGCAAGAGAATTTATTCATATAAAATAACCATATCTTTTTCTCAAGAGTTTGTTCCAATCTGGAAAACAAAACAAAGACAAAAATGCTTCTTGCAGCACTTAGCAAATATTGTAACAACCTTAAAATGAAGTTGCTGATTACAGTATAAAAAGCATTAAATGTTCAGAATCCAGTTATCGTTGAAGGGGGCTGAGAGAACTTATCTTCTTCATGTCAGTTTCTTCAATCTGAGAGGGACGTGTGGGGGGACACTTTGGCAACACACAGAGGGTACAAAGAAACCTGCAGAAATTTTAACATTTGGCCCTCATGATGAAGGAAATTAAATGTACACGACAGAGTCCGTGAGCAGAAAAGTTTTTCTTTCAGTCATTGGCGATTTTGTCTCCTTTGTTTTTAAGGCCTACGTTGCTTGTTGTACTCAGCTGCTACTGTTGCATAGCTGTCTTGTGGTGAACCAGACAAGAAGACAGGTGGGGAGGGGTGGGAGGTACTATCAAAGGAAGACATGATGGAGAGTGGTGGATGGGTTGCCATGGTGATGAGGGAAGAGCATGCTACGTCTCCTCGGGGCTGCACTCCGAGGGGAGGAGGTGAACTGACGCAGGGATGGGGAGATGGGAGGAGGAGTGCAGTACTACCTGTTGCTGTTGGACATGGCATACTGAGCCTGCTTCTGCTGGAGGAGCTCCGTGATGGCCAGCAGCTTTTTTAACACATGCTGGAAAACAAAAACAAACATTGAACTTCTAGCTCTTAAAGAGCTCAAGTGTTGCTGCGATGATCCGTCCTGACCTGCTGTGCGCCCTTCTCGTTGCTCAGGGTACGAAGTTCAGCCGAGTGTGCAGCACAGACCTCGTGCAGCGCAGCCAGGTCCCGCGACAAGTCTGTCGTGAAACTCTCTGTGGCTTTAGGGAGCTCCGGAACATTCTACAAACACGAGAGATACTTTTGTTTCTTCAGCTTATTAAAGTCTGTAGTCACGCTAAACTAATTCTAACAAATAATTTTTGTACATTTGTTTACAAACACGAAAGATACAACCAGAAGTGGGCACAGTTTCGCTAACAGCTAATAGCACTTTTTTTTTTGTTTTGTTATTAGCATTTTTGCTAACTTTGGAAACTTCTGCTAAATTAAGTGCTGCTAACTTTAAGTCTGCTAACAAAATTCACAAGCTTGTTCCTGTCTGTTTTGGGCGTGTCTCGGAAGAGTCCATTAGGCTATTGGCTTGCAAGTGGCAAGACTTAATTGGACGACTCATCTTCAATTGGAAGGAGGCGAAGACGTGTGACACAGACCAAGTGACCGTCATCTTAGTGGTTACCGGTTTGGCGTTAAATCCTGTTTAGTGGTGCCCTGAGATGACTTCTGTTTGTGACTTGGCGCAATATAAATAAACTGAATTGATTTGAACTACTGCTAATATTTTTAGTTAGCTGAGTATGGGTTAGCAAAGATAACTTTTGGTTAGCTGTGCCCACCACTGGAGACAAAGTAAATGTGTGAAAGCAATAATGGTCAACAGTTTAAAAACACAATTAATTTTCCTAAACTGATAAAAGTCCATTCACTCCATGAGAAGGCCCCTTTAGCAAATACCTGCAGAGGTATAATTGCTAATATCAGAGCCACTCTTCACTTCTGTAACGTTTGTTTAAAAAGCAAAAACTAAAACACACCCCTAACTCATCCAGGAACATGATCATTCGATGTTTGTTGTTTTTGATGAAGGGGTTGACCCCCTCCATGTAGGATTCCTGTTAAAACAAAAAGGAAAATAAAGCAAATGAAATGGTAACAATCTCAACATATTTGTCAATGTAAATGAAGTTTAATAGGATGCTTAAGGGCAGAAAGAGTTCATACCTTAGCACCAAATTCAACCAAGTTTGCCAGATTCTGGACAGACTTGGCCACCAGCGTGAGGGTACGGCTTGCTGTTGAAGACGGAGGGTCTGTTAAAAAGAACGAGAGTGCAAAGAAGAATAAAAAACATTGTAACATGACTCTCAGGACAAGAAAAAAAGAAAAAAGCTTCCAGCAGATATTTACCAGCAATGATGTTGAACATTCTGGGGTTGAGAATGGCAGGGCAGAGCAGTCTGAGGAAGACAAAACCACTAGGGAAAAAGAAAGAAAGAAAAGACGAGGTTCAAGTTAGACTCCATTAGATAAAACATATTTTTAAACAAGTTCCTGACACATCTTACTAGATTTGCAGTCATAAGGTCTCAGGGCTTATTTAAGCGTTTACCTTACAACTCTTGTCCGCATGGTGGTGTTGTTGGGCCACTTCTGTTTTACGGACTTCTGCAGGCACCCATAGATGTACCTCAATGTCCTGTTGCACAAGACGTTAAGAGTAACATATGAATCTGAAGAGTTAAAACATGTGACGCACATACAAAACCAAACAAGAATTTGTTTAGGTGTCGAGAGCTTACGCTGGCAGGATCTCAGCAGCCATGAAGATCTTCTCCACCAGCTCAGACAGTATACTAAGAAGATTGGCCAAGTTCATGGTCACGTCCTCGTTCTTCTCCAGTTTGGAAAGGTTCAGCTGAAAATAAAAAAAGACAAATGAGACACTGGACTAAAAGTGAATTAATCTGAACTCGTTACATTTTGTGATGAGTGAAAAATGATTTCTTTCACTCCACAAATACAATTAATCATAAAAAAAACAAGTGTTAATGTATCACATGTAACTCAATAACTTTTTAAGCTAGATACCAATCAGTTGCTCCTAAATGCATCTGCAGTATTTTGTACATTTGTCTTAATAACCTGAAGTAAGAAAAGTGTTGTTTTGTACCTCACAGGACTGTTTGCTTTCCATGACCTTCAGGATTGTGTCTTTGAGCGCGTGGTGGACAAAGGGTGTAGCTGTGGCCTTCATGTACTGCTCCATCAGTGTGCTGGCCAGTGTAGTCGCTCTGAACAATGTTGTGGCCTCATCTGGAAACAGACACAGGAAGATGATGTTATCCAAACAGATCAGCACATTGACACATGCTCATGAGCAATGATTCCTTTAATGATTGTTTCATATTTATTCAAGTAAACATGAAACGTCATGATTGTCCATCTTATCTGCAACAGATTGTAACATGTGTCCTTATTCTTACCCTCCATCTTAATTTCCTTTTCATTGAGTTTCATAAGCAGGAAAGCTTCATCCTTCTCATGTCTGAAAATCCGCAAAAGAAGGCTTGCCAGTAACGTTCGATCTTGACCACAGACGTTAGCCAAAGCGAAGATTACATGAAAATCTTTCTGCAAAATCATCTGTAGAGGACGTAACGAGAGCGTTTTAACTTAACAGCCATGCTGTCGGCTAAGAGAAGATATTGCAATCAGAATAATTTCTCAGTGAGTCAAACCTCCTTGAATTCGCTGTACTCCTCTTCAGGCATGATTTTCTCCATGGAGTAGCGGGCACGTACGCGCAAAGAGCCTGGCTCGATGCCCTTCAGAGGAATGTGGGAACTCAGAGGGAACCACTCGTCAATCATCTGACCCTTAATCAAACGATGTAGCTGGCAACGCATGAACACTGGGAGAAAACAAACGTGTGAAGGAAAACAAACAAAAAGGTGTGAAGCAAAAAGCACAAACATAAAAATATTTTATTACATCTACAGCTGTACTTACAGATGTCATTTTCTTTGCTCTTCTTTGTTTTGTTGCTCAAACTGATTTCAAATCGATTTATTTCACTGGACAGGTCACTGAAACGAGAAATAATATATTTTTTAAATTCTGCAAACAGAAAATGTTGACTTTGGTTGCTGGAAACGGTGAGAGCCTAAATGAACTGCACAGGGAATAAACAAACACTCACTCAAAGGTGAACTCTTCAGTGAAGACAGGATTCTGCCCTTCTCTTGGGTGTGTCTTAGCAACCTGGACACTGTTCAAGTAGATATTACAGTAGGGGTTGGTGAAATACTTGATTGGCAGCTTGTGGGCCTCCTCCACATACAGCACCAGACTGCTCACCTGAGAGAAAATTCAGCAACACATACACACAAAACAATCAATCAATATATGTATTGGTTGTAATATTTTCTACAGCACTGTGCTGAGCTCCCAACTCCCAACCCTCTAATCTACTGGTTGATCGCAAAGGCATTATCGGTAGATAGCATGGCATTAAAAAAATAGACGTTAGCCATCCTCACTATGATATTTGTCACTTGACTGACACACAGGGCAGCCAGTCACTGCCCCCCCCCCCCCCCTAATGTGTGAAATTCTCTGTGTGTGAAGCCGCACATGTGCACTACAGGCAGCTGCAATCTAAAGTTGTTCTGCCCTAACAACAGTTATAATAAATGGCAGAGAGTAGGAATGTGCGATATATGGCATAAAATTCATATCATGATATGTGTTGTGAAGGGTGGCGATAACGATATATATCGCAATATATTTTGGGTATAAAACTTAATAGGAATTTTTTAAAAAAGCATAGGGTGTTCTTTTGCTATCATACATTTTGAATTAAAAAAAAATCCACTACTAGGTCCAAAGAGTTCTTAAATAATAAACAAAATCAAGTATTAGGCTTCTTGCTTGTAGTGCAAAACAGTGCAAAATATATAAAATGTAGTTTTAGCCATAAGTTTTAAACAAAATAATATGTTGTCTTCCAGTCTTCTCACTTAAGAAATGAACAGCAACAGAGCAACAAGTGCACGCTGGAACACTTCACCCTCCAAACCTCTAGTGGGCGCCTCGTTCTGCTTTAATGAAGAGCTGACACAAAATGAGTCTGTGGCTTTGACCAGAGGGTCTCGCAGTAAAATCACACAACACAGCGTTCTTTTCACAGATCAGAGAGCAGGTTTCTCTAAAGCTGACCAACGCTTACTTTAACTTTCGACGGAAAAAAAACTAAAAACTTTTGATGGAACACAGCGTTTTGCGAAGGCGTCAGAATACGGCAACACTACAGCAAGCCGGCTGTAGTTAGCTTGTAGCTTCACTACTTGGCTCTCGAAGAAAAGACTTTAACGCCACTTACGCACAGTTTTCAACAAAAAAAGTAACGATTAAACTGACAACTCTGATTTTACATCAGAAACATCATTATTGCAGTTAGCCGGTAGAAGTCAGATCTCTATCATAGGCTAAATTTCTATCGTTTCTACCTTTCCCCTCCAATAGACATTTTTCCTCCAGCCATATAAAATAAAATAATTCCACATGAGTTCCTTTGTTTAAACTGGTGCACTATAAAACGGTTTAAACAAAGGGTCAGAAATAGACATACTAAAACATATAAAAAACTAACTGCCTGAATGCCGCTGTTAGTTTTAAATCATAAAAAATAGCAATTTTGCAAAGTACAACAACAAAAGGAATGTCTTATGCTTGTTGTAGGAATGAATAAATATAACAATTTGGTAAAAGTGTTAACTTTCAAAAAAATACTACCTTACAACTTATATACAACGTCTGAGACTGTGAACCTGAGTACACATAGCTTTAAACTTTTGGATGTAGCTGCTCTTTGCTTTGTTTAAATAAACATGTAAATAAAGTGATTGCTTACCTGTCGAAGCCTCTTGTTGGACGTGGGTACTGTAGGTTTTTTGAGGTTACTGCAGAACGTCTGAAGACATGTCATCCAGTCCTGCATGAACAGAACATGGTCACATTTTAAAGGCATAGTAAAGTTAGCTCTCTGCAGGAACACTTTGCATGCAAAACTGGAAAACTTTGTATGAAACCCAGTTAAATGGGCAAAATTAAGGCATCTTTATTTTGTTACTGGCAATCAGCAGCAAAGGCAAGCTGACAAGTATAAAAATACATTTTCCCCACCAACAATGGAATTTCCAGTATAAATAAAGAATGGAGACCAATTGTTTTTGCTGACAGGTTTCTAGTGACAAAATGTCAAAAATAAGGATTCAAATAAAATCATTTCATGCGTTATGTGAAGTTGCTTGTTTTGTCTAGGAACACCATTGCATTTACTGAATTTTGGAGTATTTTTATAATTTAATAACTCATTAGGATTTAATTATTGGCATATAAAGAAAATACAATTACTCAGAAAATATTCAGGTACAAGAACAGAAGATTAAAGTAATCAAAATTCATCAGTGTTTGAGGAAAAACTGAACGTCTTTTAGAAAGTCAGGAGAGCTTGCTTTTGTTTAGGAATATGACGGAGGACTCGAGACTTTTGCACAGTACCATAACTAAATGTACTTAAGCTATAGTATAAAGAATGTCAGCTTAATTGTCTTGCTTCAGCTCAGCTTAAATATAAACTGGTTCCCAAAAACAGATCTTCATTTGCAAAGACAAAATGAAGATCATGTTCCTGGAAGTAAATCTGTTCATTAACTGCAGTGTCAAATAAAAACACTTCATTTATCTGTATAATTAGGCTTTGATGATTTGTATGATTAGGCTTTGATGATTTTTATGATTAGGCTTTGATGATTTTTATGATTAGGCTGGAGGAACACCGCCACCAAGTGGATGAGTTGAAACTTGATCCAACAATTACCTAAAAAATGTTTTACGAAACTGACAAAAATGATAAAACAGTTCAGTGACCCAAAAAAGTTGTTTATTACCTGCGCCTGCTCTGGAGTTTCTCCAGCAAAATAAAAGATGTACTGTTCCTCGCTAAAGTGCTGGACAACGATCTGGAAACAGTTTGGCCTGGAAAAGTAAAACAGATGAGTTCATTTGAAATTTCTGAGCGGCACGAGCTTTAAATGTTGTTCAGAATACAGCTGCTATTTAAAACTTGGACTTAGTGCAGTTTACAGCCAACCGTTCACGTCCTACCTGCCAAACAGACTGTCGTGGACACCATACACTGAGCACACGCTTAGATCGATCAGCCCTTTGGGTTTCGTAGCTCTCTTCTCACTTTCAAAATATATGAGCTGTGCATCGTTACCCTCAAGGATGAAGTACAGGTTCTTCCACCTTTTGCCTTTTCCTGAGGGTGCAAGAAAAGAATTAGCATCTTGACTGACCTGATCAAACAAAACTGAGGTTTGCGATGTGCTGGAAACTACAGTGCTCAACAAAATGTTAGATACCTTTGTTAAAGAGGAGATAGCCTTTTTTGACTATGTTTTTGTAGAAAGCATCTTTTGTTTTTCTTCTTATAGTGTTATAAATTTCTCTTCCATCCACTGTGTCAGTAAGTACTTGCTCCTGTTGCTACGGTGAATACAAATCAAAACATTACATATTTACTAAAATAAAAATCTGATAATATTTTTTTTTTACAACTGTCATTTCTGATGCTCCAAATGAGTTTCTATAGTATAGATCATTAATACCAAAATAACAAAACTTATTTCCTAAAATATACATTCACTTGTCAACTTTACCTAAACATATAGTGCTGACAACAAGCTAGGCCTTAGCTATAGCAACATTTGAGTGTTGCCAGCTTACACTGGTAAATGCCATTCCATTGAGTAAAGTGTTGACAGTAACATAGTATTTAGAAACTGATGGGCTTACCTGTACTGAAACTGCTTCTTTTAGATTGTATCCCTCAACAATTTGTTCATTCTTGTAATGGTCAATGATGTCATCAACGCTGCCAGAGACAACAAACGGCAACATAAATTAAATTAAGACAATCCCCAGAGATACAATATGTAAACAAGTCAAAATTCACAACATAGGCTAATCAAAAATGTGCTAAATTGAACACTTAATGTTTTGTCACATTCTTGTTTGTCACACACAACTGACTGGCACATTAGCAGACGTACCTGTTGTAGTACCTCCCCCCCATCATGTACTGATTGTTGGGCGTTGGAGAGATCTTAAACCTTTGGATATTCTCACTGGTGCGAAAAAAGAGGGAGTAATCTCCGGGTGTGTTGTCTGACGGCCGGACAAGGAAACTGCACACCTGACCAACTATGAATTGAAATGAGAAATAAAATGTTCTGATAAGGTGATTGAAATGTCTTCTATAAATAACGTGTAGGACAAAAGATAAAAATAACTTGCCTGTCATGAGAAGGTTGTAAGCCTCTTGCTTGGTGATCTTTCCATGATACCAGCTAAAAGGGAGAATTCAAGAACAGCGAAATGAAAGGAACAATGCAAACAAGATTCTGTGAGAGCACACAAAGATGCAGACAAGACATAATATCTTGTAACAGCTCAGCCAAAAAGTATAATGGACATACTTTATCAAATAAGGTGGGAAATTTACATCATAGGAACATGTAACCAAGAGAGAGGAACATTACAGAAGTGAACATTTATATCTTGTTTTGTATTTTACAGCTATTGGTTCAGAATATTGTAGCTTACACTTTTCCCTCATGTGGATCTTCCTCCCGGCTCTGCAAAATACCAGAGACAGAAATCTGTTAAAACAAACTTATTGATTTGAACTAGAGCCAGACCGATACACTGGTTGTGCCAATATTTTAGGCCCATATGGGCGTTTGGTGGTATGTCAGTATTGGTGATAATTGTCCCATTATGTGCCGATATAAACACTGGGAACCATCCGTGTCCTTCCTTGCAAAAAGCGTAATTGTACAATGTATCCAGCAGAGGGAGCAGGCAAACTACTTTCAAGTCATGGCCTGTTCACTTTAACTTTCACTTTCAGCACAGCTGAAGCAGCGAGAAATACTGTGGCGTATTTTGCTGAACAGACCATGGCAAGTTTATTGTAATTGATCTGTAAAATAAAAACTATTAACAATAATACATTCTCTTCAATCCTCCAACCCTCTTGTCATTAGCTATGTGTCTCTCAAGTTAGCAAGCTAACGTTTAGATAACCTAGCATAGGCTAATGCCTTGTAAAACTTTAGCCAGAACAATAAATCTAAGGTAGAGGTAAATATATATCAGTGTTAGTAAAATTATTTTTGTAATCCTCAGTGAAATGCATTGTTTGTCTGAAATCTTTACTTCTCTGAAAAACAAAACAAAACAAACAAACAAAAAAGCGCTACTGCAGTCAATACTAATTAGGCCTTCATCATATGTGACTGTCTGGTTGAACAATGAACAGGGAAGGTGTTTCTTTGTTTAATTTATAATTTTGTAACGCACTTGATAACTTTATGGTGAATAGTGGAAGATAGAAAATGTGAGTGCACGTTAGGAAGACTGTTTCACGACTTAAAGAATTAAAACAGGTTTAAAAGTAGCTGTTTAATTAGATTCTTTGGGGTGGACAAAGCTCAATGATTTTCAGCCAGTATATTGTTTATCAGCATTAGCCTTTCCCTCCCAATATCGGTATCGGCGATAGCCAAAGTTTCCATTTCAGTCGGGCTCTAGTTTACATTCAGTACATCCTCATACTATTGCCATTTTGATAAAATATTGACTTATTTTGATCGACACTATGCAAGTTTACTGTCTAATAAGAGCCTATTCATTGACATTTTCACATGACTTGAGATAGACCTGTTGTGTTCTACTTACCACCTCTTCCACCAGATCCTCCACAATGAGCCCTTGCTCCTCTGTGCGAACATTAGTAACCCACATCCAACCATCCTCCAGTTCATTGTGAACAATAAACATGTCCCCTTTCAGGAAGCTGAGAATACAATTCAAAATATTATAAAGAGACAAAAAATACTGCTGTGATCTCACATCAAAAGTACAATTACCTGAGATAAATTGACATAAATAAAGTTAGCTGACAATATGTGTTTACTGCAGATTAAAGTACCACAGTACAGCCACCAGGTGTCTCTATTGACATAACGTTAGGGATAGGCCATGTTGCATGTCTGTACAGTCAAGCCTAGGGCGGTGCAGGCTCACCAAGAGTTCAGGCTGACTTTGGACAGATGCTTATCAGATTTAGAAAATCGGGGGTAGCTGAGCTCATCAGTGAGGGTGCCTACTGCAGCTTAATGACAAGAACAAGACTGTTTTTCAGTAAGTCAGATGATGTGCTTTGCAGGCTGCTGTGGCATTCCACAAAATCAGGTTGTTGTTCGTGAGCAATGTAGGCAACTAATTTATCTCTAAACCTGAGACGTCACTGCTTCTCTGTGTCAGATTATGAGTAGCAATGGAAAATGGGATGAAGATAAAGATGTTATTTTCCGAGTTTAAGACAGAAAATCTTCAATGTTCACCTGATCTCATCAGTATCTGGCACTTTGGTGTATGGAAGTATGGCCCTGACGCGCCTCCTGTCCTCTACAGGCTGTGAAAATAGACACACAAAGAATAGAAACCTCATACTTTGCCTCAGCTTTTCAGAAATATTTTCACACAAAAGTAACTAATTATTTGACAAAATCTAATTTACATTCAAACAACATCAAAACAGCTCAAGGGCAAAAAAAAAGAATGTGACATTTTACACATGTACAATGAATAAATTGGGGAAAAAATAAATTAAAGTTCAAGAGTCAAAAAGATGAGAATTTCAATGCAATAAAAACACTGACATTGCATCACATCAAATATCTGATTAATTTCTAGGAAAAAAAGGCTTTATTACACATAATTGTCCTGGACTGTTAAATTTTGCACAATTTGCTTAAAAATGTCAATGACTGATGTTTATATAGGGATTTGTTTTAGTTGACAAAAATATCAATGAAAACAGTTTAGGTGACATAGTAGCTGCATCAAATGCCAATATAAAAGTATGAAGTTTGCTCATTTTCAAAGTGGTCACATCCCATAAAACATTAAGGAATGGAATGCTTTTTAATTTTCTAAGATTATTAAAAATTTAACTGTTTCAGCTCAACTGTGACAGTGTTACATAATATGTAGTCAAATTGTATTTGAACTCTTCATTCTCTTTACATATATACTCTTATAGCCTACATATACCCTTTATATATAAAAACACGTTGAATAAAAGGGGGTGGGAGGTTAACGAAAATGAAAGCTTGTGGAGGAATCTGCAAAATTTTACAAACATTGGATCTTAGTACGTCAGACTCTGAAACACTCCAAAGCTGAAGGTCAATCTCACCTCAGGAGGTGCCACTGGTGACAACAGTTTCTCATTTTTTAGTAGGCAAGAAACATAGCTGTAGTAACCGATCAGGTCTGATAAAGAAGAGAACCGCCGACCACCAATGTAATAGTCCCCACACATGGCGATTATCCTGAAGAGCAAACAACAAGAGACGGTGACATTTTTAACCACAGACTAATCACTTTGTGCTGAATGTAATGGGAAGTCTCAAAAACTATCTCTTTGAATGGAGATAACATTGCTTCATCAACACAAACATCTCATTAAAACTAACAAAGATAGAAAATGTTTATTACAACACTTTAATGATAGAGGGGAGTAAAAATCTATCACAACAGGATGCTAATGGTTAACCAGTTGATTGTGTTGCCAGTTTTTTTTGGGTTTTTTTCTGAGGTAATGGGTCATCTGGCAAAAAGGCCAACACTACAGGGGGATATTTTATTTTATATTGGCCTTTATTTAACCAGGCAAATCCCAATAAAATCACAGATCTCTCTTGCAAGAAACGTCTGGGCCTGAAGGCAGCCTAACATGCAAGTTTTTTTTGCCACCTGTCGTAGATTGATCGGACACCTTTCAATCTATTCTTATATTGTGGGTGTACATAGAGACGAGACAGCAGTCTTATTAAAGGGCCCAGTCACTCTGTAGCTTGAGCTCCTCAGCGATACACGGAAACGGAATATGACCCCTATGCTTAGTATCACCTACAGCAAAATGTGCTTTTTATTTTGGTGTTGAAAAATGTTTCTGTAGTTCTTTAAAGCAAATGTTTAGCCTGAAGCATTTTATTATTATCATTATATTTCTTGCTTTTAAACAGGAGTTTTTATTTGAAATATTTGGCATAGAACAAAAATCTGCCATATTTGGTTGTTGGTCATTTTAAATTTTGCATTTTGTATACATATAATTTTACAAAGTATGAAACTGTGAATTTAAAATGAGAGAAGTCTGGTCATTTTTCAATTCACACCTTAGTTATTTGAACTTGAAAGGTGCGATGTGGCATGGAAAGTTTTATCTTGTCTGTCTGTCTGTCTGTCTGCATTGACCATGGCCTCAGATTTGGAGGAGCCGATTCTTATCCCAGCTGCTTCACATTCGGCTGTGAATTGCTCTAGTGAGAGCTGGGGATCATGGCACGATGATGCCAACAGGATCACATCATATGCAAATAGCAGAGATGAAATTTTGAGGCCACCGATCCGGATTCCCTCCAACCCCTGGCCGCAAAGAGAAATTCTGTTCATAAAAGTCATGAACAGAATCGATGACAATAGGCAGCCCTGGCAGAGTCAACTCCCACCCTGAAGGGGTCTGACTTACTGCCAGCAATATGAAACAAACTGTCGCACCGCTTATATAGGGACCAAACAGCTCGTAGCAACGGGACTCCAATCCCATACTTGGAGAGCACCTCCAACAGTGTACCCTGAGGAACATAGTCGACCGCCTTCTCCAAGTCCATAAAACACATGTAGACTGGATGGGTAAACTCATATGACCCCTCGAGGAACCTAGTGAGGGTAAAAAGCTGATTCATTGTTCCATATCAAGACGAAACCTACACAGCTCCTCCTGGATTTGAGGTTCAACCAATGATCTGACTTACTTTTCCAGTACCCCTGAATAGACCTTACCAGGGAGGATGAGGAGAGTGGTGCCCCTATAATTGGAGCACACCCTCCGTCCCCCTATTTGAAGAGGGGAACCACAACCCCAGTTTGCCAATCCAGTGGCAATCTAATGTCCATGTGATGTTGCAAAGGTGTGTCAACCAAGACATCCCCACAACATCCAGGGCCTTAAGGAAATCAGGGCGGATCTTGTCCAGTACTGGGGTTCTGCCGCTGTGAAGCTTTTAACTACTGCAGCAACCTCAGCCACGGTTATAGACAGAGCAACCCTGAAGTCCCCCAACTCGGCTTCCTCCATGGAAGATGTGCCGGTGAGAGTGAGAAGGTCTGAAAACTGTTCCTTCCACCCCCCTGACGACATCACTGGTTGAGGTTAACAGCACCCCACCTTCAGTGAACACTATGACAGTAAAGCACTGCTTCCCCCTCCTCAGTCGCCTGATGATCTGCCAGAATTTCCTCAGAGCGGATCGAGAGTCTATCCAAGTCCTCATCGAACTCCTCCCACATCTGAGTTTTTGCCACAGCAACAATCAAGGCTACAGCCAACTTGGCCCTCCTGTACTCTTCAGCTGCCTCTGAAGTCCCACCAGTCAACAAGGCCCAATAGGACTCCTCCTTCAGCTCGACAGCCTCCCTAACCCAAAGTGTCCACCACAGAGTTCAAGGACGATGGATCACCTTCCAGCACCCCCACTAAGGACTCCAAGAAGACCGGATACCATGAACTATTTGTTAGGTAGGCACAAACAATCGGCAGAGCCTGTTTTCCCATCCAAAGGCGCAGGGAAGCTACACTCTCATCTACCAAGGAAAAACTCCAACACACAGGCACCAAGGCAGGGGGCTAAGTGTAGACCCACACATGCTCGGCGTCTCTCACCATGGGCAACTTCAGAGCGGAATAAGGTCCAGCCCCTCTCAAGGAGATTGGTTCCGGAGCCCATACTGTGTGTCGAGTTGTGCCCTACAATATCTAGTCAGTACCTCTCAACCTCAGGCTCTTTCCCTGCCAGAGAGGTTACGTTCCATCTCCCGAGAGCCAGCTTTGGTAAACCAGGGTCAGAGGTTTACAAACACCTAAACACCAAAATATAAATTTGGAATAACACTGCCCATTTCTAGTTAGTACTGTGTAGGTTAAACCAGGTGAAGACTCCTGCCAAAGAATGAAAACATGCCCATCTGTTTACAACAGGAGGTTCTGATTGTGTTCATGGAAAATATTTTGTAATATTATTGAAGACATTATGTAAGATATTCTCTCATGGGATTTAAACAGCTGATTCAAACTGGGTTTGTGCAGTTAAGTAAAACGTACCTGAAATGGTTGACCACATTGGTCACACTGAGAAAAGACAGGACAAAGGAACCGGGCCGGCGGTCACTCTCCCTGATGAGGTAGCTGCCAGGGTTACGGGCCTGGCGTAAACGCTCCTCTGCGATGGTTCGATCTAGTTTACCATGGTACCACCTTAAAGAAAAAAAAGGGACAATAATCACAAGGTGCAGAATTTATGTTGTGACGTACATCACAAACAGATGCTTGTGAAAATGTAGAACATCATCCACAAAGATGTTTTAATGCAATTAAGTTTTTCTAGAACCCAATCTAAACAGGAAAACATTGCAATACAAAAATCTCAAGCTTTTATATTTGAATTTCACTACTACTTGTAAGCCTTTCTTCTTTGAATTAAACAACACTGTATGTTTCAAAAACTCAGGTGGAAAACCTCTGCTTACAAAGGCAGCTGAGATAACAAATTAACATGTTTTTCAAAACTAAGGTCCCCTCCCTATTATCAAAACATGGGGAAATGAACTGAAAAACATCCAGTGGTTAAAGAATGAATTGAGGAGGAGAAGATCTCTTTTCTACAGGAAACCAAAATGTCTGCTATTTGGTTTATGGGTGTAAAACCTTGTGGTTGTTTGAGAAAAACACACAAGAAACATGCTTTTGTGAAAGAAGTGAGCTAATAAGTCAGAGGAAACATCTATGAGAGCACCTGAGAGGATTTTTGTGGTCAGAAAACTCAGAGGGGCAACCGAGATGTATTGTACAAAAGAGGTGTGGAGTTTCTTTAAAATTAAAGAAGCTTAGAAAAATTATACTAACAAAAAATAGATTAGACATAAGGGTAATTGTGCAAAAAAGAAATGTCAGAAAGCAGAACGGTGAACTAAACGCAAGCCCTTGAATCAAACCAAGAAACTCACAATTTACTTGATGCAAAGAATTTTGAATCCATAACAGTTCAAACAAAATTTGAGGACATAAAAAATGACTGAAGTGTTATAGTTAAAATTCCCATTGCCTTAGCAGTCAACGTCAGGCATCCAGCTGCACAACATTCAAGGCAAAAGACTACATATATCTGAACTGACAGAAAGATGATAGACTAACGAGGGGCTTGGCTTTCAGTCCTGGTTTTCTGCTCTATTTACTGATCAAAATCGCATTTTTGCTGTACTACAACAAATCAAAGGCTTTTTTTTCTCTTGTAATGCAATACAGGGATATAAAATCTATAAATACAACTCAGAATTACTTGCATTCATTAGTCAGCTCAAAATAAACTATCAAATAAGAGTTTTTTTACTCCATTAGGGTTCTTTTTCAGTTTTTTGAACAACAGGCAACTTCCTGTTAATGTAGCAGAAGATCAGAAACATATACCAGAACTGAAACAGCTAATAAAAGTTGCAATGAGTCAGAGATGGACCTATGTAAAGTGACGTAATCGCATAAAAACAAGAAAGAGTTAAGCACAATCCTCTCTGAAAATGTAGCTCTGAACATCTGAGAACATTGATTATGTCTCATCAACTATGCCAGTAATTATGAATCTAAAGCAGACTGCATAAAGATTTTGCATCCATGAGGATATAGAATAGGCATGTGGAAACCACACGAGGAGGGTGGTAAGCTTAACAGAATATAAACATAGGCCATAGTGATGATAGGATACAGTTCTATCAAATTCAGGAATGCCTTGTCATGTCAGTACATGTTTAGCAGGCAGCAAAGAGGTATCATGGCCCAGTTTAACTAGGCTGAGCCTGAACCTCTTTAGGAAATCAAGTACAAATATGTTATGGTTTTTCAGTGGAATACGTACGTGTACAGTACTTCAAAACAAAAACCAGGAAAAAGAAAGAAAAAAATTATATTTGTTTCAGTATCTGCTTGTAATATTTTAAAAATATGTTAATAAACGACAGCAGGATGATTAACAGCAAATTTTCAAGAATGTTAATTTGACCATTTCCTCAGGTTAGAAGTCATGCAAAACTTCAAATTTTCTGTGGCAGTTTAAGAACAACACTATCCAACCTATATTTACTTTGATTCTGCAAGCACAGAAAACACAGCATCCACCTATTCTATACCATTCCTCACAATCCCACTTTCCTATTGGTGGCATAACGGGACTGATAGGTTTGCAGAGTAGATCTGCAGCTTTTGTCATATTTACTCATTCAAACATGAGGCAGTTTAAAAATAAATAAATAAAAAATAATTAATTAGCTGAGTGACGTGAGTATGAAGGACGAGGAAACAAAAAAAGGTTTTCATCACCTGAGGCAAACTGGCAATGCCTTATTGTTTACACTGTACTCAAGAAAAAAAAAAAGTTAAATGAGAGGCAGGTTTTCTCCAATATCTGATACATTAAACTGTAAATACTTTAAGCAAGCAGCTTGCATTAATGAAAATGGAGTTAATATTAATATTTTAAGTTAATACAGTTCAGCTGTGCAAAAGCAACCACCCATTTCCATCTTTATGATAAAATTTGACGTTAAGACACCACTTGTCTCAGCTCTGCTGCACACACAAAATCCTAGCCCTCCTCACTTGCAAAGACAAACACTTTTCTACACATACAATGTATGTAAAAGTTTATACAGCAGAAGGCCATTTCTGAAGCTCAAATCCTTTTGGCTTGGGAGTGCAAAAAGCCTGATGAGTGACATCACTCACATAAGGGCTCTAAAAAGTAAGGCCCGAGCACTGAGTTTTACACAGTCCTTCATTTGTTTCTGTAAACAGATGCTCATAAAACAGTTTTTATAAATGGTTCTTAAAAACTTTTCTGTATTTTTTTTCTTTTTGTGCAATTTACTTTAACATATGTTTGTTATTCTACAAAAAAATATTGTTTCAGCACATGCACAAATCTATCAAGTTTAGAAAAATTTGTATTGTAGGGCAACAAAGCTTTATTTAAAGCCTTTAACACTGGGAAACAGCTGAGAACAATAACTTACAAGTTAAAAAACTTATGACTAATAATTAGGTCCCTAAAAACCAACCTGGAGTAGCTTAATAAAAACTGAAATGTAACTAAATGTATAAGGTTAATCACCAAAATAATGTTTTTTTTTCTCCTAGGTTTAGGAACAACATACTGACTCACACACAAAACTGATTATACATCTGATTGTTATTATTCTGTTTTATTTTGATAACCATTTTATTTCACAATTGTTGAACGACATTTGCAATTACTAACTGCAGCCTTCCCTTAGAGTACACATCCATCCATCCATCCATCCATCATCTTCCACTTATTCCGAAGTCGTGTCGCTGGGGCAGCAGCTTGAGCAGGGAGGCCCAGACATCTCTTTCCACAGCCACCTCTTCCAGCTCTTCTGGGAGGATTCCCAGGCCAACCGAGAGACTTAGTCTCTCCAGCGTATCCTGGGTCTTCTCCCAGCCAGACATGCTCGAAGCACCTCAACTGGCTCCTTTCGATGTGGAGGAGCAGCGGTTCTACTCCGATAACTGAACTTCTCACCCCATCTCTAAGGGAGAGTCCAGCTACCCTGCGGAGGAAACTAATTTCAACCGCCTGTATCTGTGATCTCATTCTTTTGGTCACTACCCAGAGCTCGTGACCATAGGTGAGGGTAGGAACATAGATCGACTGGTAAACAGAGAATTTTGTCTTACAGCTCAGCTCTCTCTTCACCACAATGGACCGGTACAGAGTCCACAGTATTGCAGATACTGCACCAATCCGTCTGTCAATCTCACGCTCCATTCTTCCCTCACTCGTGAACAAAACCCCGAGATACTTGAACTCCTCCACTTGAGGCAGAACCTCACCCTCAATCTGGAGAGAGCAATCCACCCTTTTCTAGTTGAGGACAATGGCCTCAGATTTGGAGGTGCTGATTCTCATCCCAGCTGCTTCACACTCGGCTGCGAACCGCTCCAGTGAGAGATGAAGATCATAGCTTGATGACGCCAACAGGAACACATCATCTGCGAAAAGTAGAGATGGAATACTGAGGCCACCGAACCGGAAACCCTCTGCCAGCTGGCTGCAAAGAGAAATTTTGTCCATAAAAGTTATGAATAGAATCGGTGATAACAGGCAGCCCTGGCGGAGTCTAACTCCCACCCTGAAGGAGTCCGACTTACTGCCGGCAATGCGAACCAAGCTCTCGCACTGCTTGTATAGGGACTGAACAGCCCATAGAAATGGGTCCCCAATCCCATACTCACAGAGCACCCCCCACAGTGTACCCCAAGGAACACAGTTGAATGCCTTCTCCAAGTCCACAAAACACATGTAGACAGGATGGGCAAACTCCCATTACCCATAAAGGACCCTAGTGAGGGTAAAGAGCTGATCCAGTGTTCCACGGCCAGGAGGGAACCCACATTGTTCCTCCTGGATCTGAGGTTCGATGTTCATTTTAATGCTTGGGGAAAAAAAAACAAAAAAACAACAGCAGCAGCAACAACAACAGCAGCAGCAACAACAACAACAACAACAACAACAACAACAACAACAACAGCATTTTATACAGTGGTCAAAAGTCGTTCCACACAAGCTAATTTTTCACAGCAAAAGGAAAAAATGTTCAGGCTTAAGTTTAAATGATGCCCTTTCCTTTGGATCATTATGTGCTCTCATCACATGATAAGCAGTTTGATAGAATATTAATACAATTATATAAATATGGTAGATATGAGAGGAATCAGCCAATAAGATAAATCAATAAATATTGATGGAAGAATTAGTGTTAACATACAGAACATCAATCCAAATTCTAAAGTGATTAAAAAAGTATTTGCTGATGTAACTGTTACACACAATTACTTAAAAATATTATAATGCAATAGAGTAATGCCTAAATACTGTATGCTGTGTCATTTCAAGTGTTACCTATGCACTTGAACTAACATTGTGTTACCACACAGAAGATTCTCTTGATTTTTTTTGTCTTCTAGGGCCCAGTTTTTAGTTAAAATTCTAGATACAGGACAGATTGCTGTGATTTCATGTAATCTCAGATTCTTGTTCCACCATTTTCTGTCTTGATGGGTTCATTCGTTTTTAACATCTCAACAGACTTACTGCCAACCTTCATCACTATCAAAAAGTAATGAAACACTGCATTACAGCACATTAGCAATGCCTTTTAGCACTGCTTTAGACTTTCTATCAGGGC